TAAAAAGAAAGAGTGGCACACCCGCACATATATATATATAAACGGGCATGTAAAAGATACTTCTTTTTGTTATGCAATGTTGTGCCCAGTCACATCGGCCATTGGCCTCCCCTCCCCCCTCCTCCTCCTCTCCCCTTGTTGTGTTATATGTGCCTCTCTTGCGTGGGTTGTGGTCGTTGCGGATGGGCGCCAACAAGCTCTTCCCCCCACACCACCTCCCTCCGCTTGTTGCCTGCAGATGTGTGTGTTTGGTGGCTGCCGCCACCCCTCGCCCCAGAGAACAAGAGCCAGGAATCCACCGGAGAGTAAAAACATGTAATGGTCTGGAGCAGTGAAAAACGCGTACCTCACGAGACAATAAAAACACCTAAACGAAAAAAAAATGTAGAAATCGACAGCAGCCTCTACACCATGACGGCACGGAAGTCACGGATCTCTAAGTTGTCGTGCATCTTCATCTCTAGCCCTTGCTGATCCACCGCGAACAACGGACAGCAGAGCATAGTAAAAAAATCTCCAGCAGAAGACCCTTGCAGGCGGTAGCGGCACCGCACAAGGTAACGCAGCCGCCATCCAAACGCCGCTGTTCCTAATCCATGATAAAAATACCCACAGGGGCAACCACATGTGAAAAGGTCGCATAAGCAGATGTAATAAAACGTCCTTGGCATGCGTCCCTCACGTCCAAAGAAATCCTCGCAACACATACGGTAAGGCTCACGGCCACGCTCCTCCTCCTCACGAAAAAGAAGATACGTCTGCTCCGCAACACTACAACGCAAGCAGAAAATCCTCCACATGAGATGTCCAAAAGCAGAGGTGCATTTTGGCTCTGGAAAAGATGCCGGGCCGAATTTTCTCCTACCGAGAGTTAGCATCTCTGTGCACTCAAGCGGGTATGCCGGCAGGTCATTCCCGCGTAGACAAAAACATGGCGCCAAGAGCGAATACAACCATTCGCTGCGATCAAGCACAGGTGAGGCGAGGATGGGGGGCCGAGTGGTCACAATGAGCCTCTCACGATTGTGGAACTGCTCTCGCAGCGACATGTAATTGAAATCCCATTGGAATGTGTGTGTCGCAGGCAAACGTGGCAACTGCTCAAGCTGTCCTGTGGTGCCCACCGCACCTACGGGGCCAACTTGCGCAGGGGGTAAAGTGGCAGCAACGGCAACGCTTTGCCGCTGTCTGTGCGTTGTCTGCCGCTCTTCCCTTTGCTGTTCCCCCCGCCCTGCTGCATCTTCTCTCCTTGAGGGCATCGGCGCCCCCGCAGGCCGCGGAGAGGACATACCCGGAGGAACAAAAGCAAAAACAAAAAAACTACGCACACACAAATATATATATATATATATTATATATATATATGCAAAGATAAGGGCGCTAAGCAGCACGCAACGCGGGACCAACACACACAAAACCACACTGATAGAAATTCACGACTAACTGTTTCCACGGAACTTTATTATTTTTTTTTTGGGTGTTTCTTGCCAAAAAAAAAAACAAGAAGGCCAAAAAATGAAAAGGAAAACAAAAGCAAAAAAAAAAGAGTGCGACGCCAGGAAGCAATAAAACCAAAGGTGGCGCTATAATATGCGCAGACACACAGCCTCACGCTGCTTGTCGCCTGACCAAAAGGCGTCTATCATCCCTTCATTGCAACAAAACAATGAATATTTGAATAGCTGTATATATATATATGTGTTACTCCTCACATTCGCACATCCTGTCTTCTGGCGTGCTCAGCAAAGACATCTCTGCAAGCTGCTCCTCTAATATGCTTTGTCGAACCTCCTCAAGTACAATCTCATCTGTGCCACCGCACACCACACCCTCCGCGCCCGTACCCGCGTCATTGGGCATGCTAGAGGTGTGCCTCGCGTCTTGTGCATCCAACGTCTCCGGCGCGTTCACCGCGGCTGGTGCATGCGAGGACGGCAATGCTTCCATCGAACCGGAGTGAGACTCCACCGGGTTTAAGCCAAGTTTCTTCTCCACGGTGACACCGTGCAGTGACGGCACACAACGGGGAATATCAAACCCAAAACGTCTACTAAGTCCACCACCTTCCTCTGACGAATTTGCAACCTCGACAAAGTGTGCGATGATTGGGGAGAAGAAGGCGGGATGAAGGTAGTGTCCCATGCTTTCTAGGATGATCAGTTTGGCTTGCGGTATCACAGACGCTGTACGGTGGCCGTGTGCAGGTGGCATCAAGACATCTTGCTGGCCGTGGATAACCAGCGTCGGGCAAGAGAGCGAGCGAAGAGCCTCGTCGCGTCCAGGACATCGACGAATCGCTGCAGCCTGTCGCAGTAGACCTGCGGAATACGCACTTCGCCGCAGTGAAATTAAATACCGGTGCTTTAAATACTCCTCATCCACGGGCAGGGTCCCTGCTAGCAGCTTTTTAAGTGAGACAACACGGAAGTTTAACAGCTCCTCAAGGGTGCAATTTGCAGGGGGCTTTCGCAGAAGCCACATCTTTACCCACAGCTGTGGGTCTGGTAGATCGGCGGCATTTGTGGTTGACATAATGCTTGTGAGGCTAAGCACACGGTGCGGCGCAAAAAGCGCCAACGTCTGGGCAATCATCCCACCCATGCTAATGCCCATAATATGGGCAAAAGGAATGCCAAGAGCGTCCATAAGTGCAAGAGCATCACGCGCCATATCCTCAATCGTATAGGGGAGGCGTTCTCCAAAGGCAAGGGCTTTTGGCAGCAACAGGCGTGCTGACACAATACTGCCGCGCTCATCTATTTTTGTAGAGTGTCCAATATCACGATTATCGAAGCGCACCACAAAGAAGCCACGACTCACTAGCTCCTCACAAAACGCCTCATCCCAGGCATACATTTGCATGTTGAGTCCACCAATGAGAAGTACCACTGGCATCTTCTTGCATGGATCACCAAGGCACTGATAGCAGAGCTCGATGCGCATATTGCTCGCTGTACAATACCGCACAAATGTCACCATTTCGGGGGAGTGCATCCCTCCCTCAAATAACTCCTCCTTCCCTATATGTGTATACCTCTGCCTCTCTCTTTTTCCTTCTCTCTCTCTGTGTGTGTGTGTGTGTGTGTGTTATGTATGTATTTCCCTCTTAAAACGTATAGATTTTGTGTATTACGCCGTTTCTGACGTTACTCCACTTTTATTTTGTTGCGTGCTAATACTTATTGCTGAGGCGACTCACAGCTTCTCTGCAGCTTTGTGAAGTTCTTCACTCCTTCCTTTACTTGCACTGTAAGCGAGCGATGTGAGTGCGGGGCACATGCATACACGTAACTAACAGCAAAGGTTAAAGCCATTGAAAGCAACCACAACATCACACGCCTTACACAGCTCCAGGCGGGAACATCATGACACGTACGTAACAGCAGGCGTGCATGTGCCTTCCTTTGTAAAGGAAGGCTCCATTGAAAAGGGAGATGAGAATAGGAGAAAGCGAGGACAAAACAAAACGGTATTGTAACTTTGTGCCATGGCAGTCATAATGTCGCACCCACCACTGCCAGTTTCGTACGGCGCGAAAAGAAACAAGGAACTCAATTGTACATCGTGGCCGCCTCTACGATCCCCATCACCCCTCTTACAGCCCCCCCTCCCCCACCCCCACAGGCAATGATGTTTATGTTGCTCACGGAAGACACTGCTCCATCTTTGTTTATTTATGTTTTTTCCCCGTTTTATCTCTTGCATGCGTAGACACCGTGGCGGTTGATGTTTCTCAGGCGCTGGCACTCGCTCGCCGTGTGTTCCACACGATCTCCTGCACAAGGTCGACGTAGAGCTCTTCCGGCAAGGAGTGATCCATGAGCGGGAACAGAACCAGTTTCGCTGAGCGCCCAATCACGGTTGCCAGTTCAATGCCATTTTGGTATGGAATCGTCTGGTCCGCCATGCCGTGCATCACCAGCGTTGGGGTTTTCAGATCTCGTAGAGCCTCCATGCGACTTCCCGCCCGTTGACATGCGGCGAGGTGGCGACGCAAACACATGGGATCTTCAGCTGCACGCGTCAGAATCCGTTTCACAAATTGCCGAGTCTTCTCCTCATCGGGAGGGTAGTTGGGCCCTGCCGTGCGGCGCATCAAGAAACACTTAAATTCAATTGAATCCTCCAAGGTCGAGCTGGCTGGCCTGTCAAGAAACCTCAGCTTTGTTCTCCAACCTTCCCTCACCCGTGCAGGGTTGCTGGTATGTGAATAAATAATTGTAAGAGTCCGCACACGGGTCGGATAGTGGATCGCCATGAGTTGCACAATCATGCCACCCATGCTGCACCCCACCACATGCGCCGCATCGATGCCGAGCGTCGTCAGGAGGTTCATTCCATCCGCAGCCATGTCCTCCAGCGAGTACGGATTGCGCTCACCAAGCGACAACGCGTGTGGAAGCACCATGCGCAACACATGCGGCCCGGGGAAATCCGACAGGTGTGTAGATAGGCCCACGTCACGATTGTCGTACCGAATCACGTAGTACCCATTCCTTGCAAGCATTTCACAAAACTCATCACGCCAGAGCATGCCGACACCTGTCATGCCCATTACCAGGAGAACGCATGGATCTTTGGGGTCTCCAAAGGCGTTGTAGCAGATGGAAATTTCCACCCCAGTAGTGGCGCACTTTCCAACATTTACAATCGTATCGGGAGTATAAGACATGTGTCGTACAAAACCTTGTATGTATATAGACAGAGTTCACACCTAATGTTAACCTCTTCTGTTAATAACTCAAATAATATAAAAATGTGTAGATAATGTCTTCAAATAGCAGTGGGGGCAAATAAAAAACAAAAATAATAATGAAGGCAATAAAGACAGGTACATCCGTATGTTACCTCATGCACCTGCGACAAAAGCATGCGGTCATTGGAGAGCAAGAGTCAGCCGCGAATGGCGTAAACGCAAAAATAAAACAAAAACAAAAAAAGGATCGACAAGAAAGACCAAAACCACCCTTCGACCACTGTTATGTTCGCTGCTCTTCAAGCAGATACACACGTCTACGTGGAACCTGCCCCTCCGACCGCCAGAATGGAAGATCACAGGGCTGGTTCAGTGTGTGCCCAGTATTCCCTAGCACGGAAACGTACAATTACTCCACCCCCTCCCCCCACCCCACCCCACCACACACACATACACGAAACTGCACGAACACATTTACGAGGCACATGGCGGTGATGGCCGGGATCTCGCTGTGAGCGCCCGGAGTGGCAGTTTTTGGTGGCCGCATCCACCGCAAGGTATGTGTATCAACAGGAGCATGAGGTTGTTGGGGGGAAGGCAATAAACAACACAGATAATTAAAAAAAAAAAAAGAATTTTGGACAAACGCGATCCGCCACCACCCCACCGAACTTTTGGGGGCACACACCCTTCTTCCCCATCAGACCTGTAACCTGTAGGATGCAAACAGAGCGGGAAAACCAAGGCAAGGTAAAGGAAATAATAGAAGGCCGACCAACCGTCTTACGCCGCGGTTCAGAGCTTGGAGGCCGTGACCGGATCCTGCTCCCCACGTCTTGACTGTCGCATATTGGTTGTTAATGCATCAACAATTCTGCCACGCAGTGCGGGGTGCAAAACATGGCCCAACCCTGTAACGCTCACGAGCTTCGCGTGTGGAATCAAGGCGGCGAGCTCCTCCCCATTAAAGTACGGCACAATGGGGTCGGCAGTGCCATGCAGAATAACTGTGGGCACACAAACGTGTCGTAACCCCTCCAGGCGATCCTGTGCGTTCAACAATGCAACATACTGCCGCAAGGCACCACTAAAATCTGAACTCCGTCGGAGCATGCGTCGCATCTGAATTAAGCATGCCGCTCGATCAATGGGAAAGGATGCCCCAGATCCCGACGCAAAACGTTCAATAAGATTTACTAACGCGTGAGCCAATTCCTCTATCTCCTTAGGAGAAGGCATGCTACGGCCATTTTTCCCTCGAAGCGACAGCGGCACCGCGAAGCCCTTACGTGTAGCATATGTGATAAAGGAGGCCAATGCCAATGCCTCGCGCAGAGCGGGCCACCTCGCCTGCGGAGATCCACTGTGTGTGGATATCAGTGAGAGCGACTCAACACGTGTCGGGTGGTACACGGCCATAACCTGCGCAATCATACCACCCATGCACATACCTACAATATGTGTCTTACTGATATGCAAGGCATCTAGTAAACCAACACTATCCCTTGCCATGTCTTCCAGTGTGTACACTCCACGTAGGAGGTTATGACGCCCTGGCACCAAACTTGCGAAGGCTAACCGCGGATACAGCAGCGCACTGTCAACTAACGAGCCCAGCCCACATTGGGATGATGCTGCATCATAATGAGTATCCCACACCTCCATTTCATCCTCCACAAAAGTAGTAGACAGTTTTGCCGGAAGCACCCTTCGACCCGTAAGAAATGTACTCCGCCCTGTATCACGGTTATCAAAGCGAATCACGTAGTACCCACGTGACGCCAAGCATTCACAGAACTTCGTATCCCACAGCAGTAAGGGAGAAGCAATTCCCATGATAAGAAGAACCACCCCACCCACGGCGTCTCGTCGCCCGAATGTTTGGTAGCAAAGCTGAATACGAATCCCTGTACTCCGGCAAACACCCACATCCGCAAATGACTCACCGAAGCGAGAATAACGGTCATGTGATAAAACCGTTGACGTGTTATTTAACATCATCTCCTCCTGCATTAGGAACGCCCCTGAGCCTACGCACCCCGCGAAGGGCCTCGACGTGTGCGGACGGCGACGACGATGATAACACCCACTAGCGAAATTTCCCGTGTCACCCCCAGCACCTGTCGCAGTGCAGCCAAAGCCTGCGGCAAACTTCTTCCCCTCTTGTTTGCTGTTTCGTGGTTGGTGTTCAATCTACGTATGTCTCGCGTTCCGCTTACGTACTTACCTGTGCGGTGACCCCACACGCAGGCACCCTACGACAGGAAATGCCCTTGTAACCAAACTGCAGAGAAAAAAAAAAACAAAAACAAAAGCAACAACCCCGATATAAATAAGCACAAGAAGAAGAAAGTAAGAAATAAAAAATGAAAAATAAAAAAAATAAAAAGGAAAGAAGACGACCCTAAAAAAAAAAAAAAAAATCAAAACGGAGCTGAAAAAACAACGATGACGATGCAAGAAAAGCGCGCAAACAAACACACAAATAAGCACGCACTGATGCACGTAGTCCCGCACTCCGACTGATATCGCAAGCAACGAAGAAAATATAATTATATTTCGGTCCCGTTCCTTTTCTTTGTTCTTTTTTTTTTTTTCGTGTGTGCATCTCTTCGTATACATATTGACGTGCGTGTGTGTCTTTCGGATGCTGATATTATTGGATGCACTCTCCCCTTGCCCCGTCGCATCTAAAGATTCTAGCATGGCCTCCGTATCGGACACTATCAACTCGAGGCGCGCCACGAACCGTTGCGTGGCTATCTTTTCACACCCCTCCTCCATCTCACTTTTCCGCCGCCGGCGTTTTGGAAAATGTCTTATTGGTGCCCTTAATAAACCGGCGAACGCTGCCAGGGTGGAGGTCGTAGTTTTGTCTCTCGACCGTTCAATGAAGCGTGCAGAGACATTGATTCACCGTGGAGGCATCGGACGGCTCATCCACAAAGGAGATGACGGTGTCCGTCATGGATGAACCGTCCAGCGCAAACTGAAACATGGTCCGCAGCTCCGCAGGGTTCTTGTCAAGAATGCAATTGTAGTGAAATGTTGCAGTCCTCGACGCAGGTGACAAGGAGAGAAGAAAGCACAATGTCCTCCTCATCCCCCTTGGTGTGGGGCGTGTGCGTAGGAATTTGCTTTAGGATGACTGGCATGAGAACAATGCCGCGCTCCTCCCCCGGCTCACCGCCAGCCCTGGATATGGCAAAGTCAAGCAGCGCCGAGAACTCAGTGGCGTCCTCCACCGCCTGGTAAATGACGCCGTGTGCGCTGCTGCCAAAAAGTGGCGATTGTGCCACAGTGAGCGTCACAGGGTGTGGTCGTTCCGTCAGCAGATCCATCACATGACCGTCCTCCTAAATCGAAACTGAGACGCTGAGTTCCGTTCGGGCCTTTATTTTGGAAGGACATCCTTCAGCAGCTGCCTTACTACGTTCCAGGAAAACCACCCGGCCGGGTTGTGTGCTAGACCGTTGGAATTTGCCATCACAAGCGCCACGTTGCAGCCCAGCAGGAAGGTGCCGCACAGCTCTTCCAGCGCTTCAATGAAAGCAACATAGTTATCGGGTGAGAATTACACAATACCATTGGTGTCAAACTTTTGCACTTCATATGTGCCCTGTTTCTCTACTATTGTCGTGCGGTCATCCACTGTAATTGTGTCACCAGCACTTTTCTCCAAGAGTAAAATCGTGCGTACCCGCATCGTCATAGACGATGCCCAGATTGCGTGAGTTCCTATTTGACCCCAAATCACCTTCCTTTTTATACTCCCCATCCCTCGTCGGCTGTACATCCCAATTCGCCTTTCACTATCCTTGCGTGTCAACCTAACCGTAACGGGGCGTTGCTTAGGCGGTCCCTTCGCCCCTTCTCTGGTAAACGCCCCGGTCGACCCCATTGTTCGTTCCGTGTGGAAGTGGGAATGTCATCACAGAAGCTGAGCCACCTGGCCACTTCGGTAAGGCAGTGAAGCGTGCTGACAGACGCATCTCCTCCAAAGCTCCTGCGCCAACCGTCCTCTTCCCCGCCTGAGCTAGTGGATCAAACTTGCAAAAACCGTTTAAGGTGGAATTCATCTGTGTAATTGTCACACTGTTTTTCCGTGCCAAGTCTGGATCTGCCTCAGGTTGTGCAGCTGGTGCTTCCGCTACGCACCCCTCTGATGGATCGTGCTGAAGATCTTCGACACGGTTAATGTAACCCATATTTACAAGGGCCAATGCAAAGCCGTAATTGAGATTGAGGCCACCATCATTGCAGGTTAACCCGCGCGATGTAAACTGAGAAACGTGGAAGGAACGCGGTAACCAAAGGAGTGTCCATAGCCTGATCCAAAACCAGACAACACACTATTCAATAGTTAAAGACTGCTTGATCGTTGAAAGCCAGACTGTGACAGATATCCAGATCCTGTGGAGTCAAAACTACAATATGCTCTAACATTCGTCCTTCTTTAAAGACTAGCTGAGCGACAAAAACTACCATAAAAGGCTCCGTCGTAGCGAAAGGTTCCTACGCGAAAACCTCTCTTGGAACAAGAATACACTATTTTCTCTCTGTAGCAGACCAAACTTTTTCTCTTGGAGCATAAGACGGTGGCTCAGAGGCTGCGTAGTGCGTACTTCCTTTCCGGGGCTGGTGCATACTGTCCATGGGATAAGATAAGCCTCTTTGCGCAGTATATGCCGGCTGTGGATTGTAAGGCACGGAAGACATGCCACCGTAGGGGTACTGTATATTACCCTGAAGAAACATTTGGGCCCTGTTCACCATTAGATGTTAGCCTCGTTGTCTCCGATGGTCATTGCGGTATGCGGGGTTCGCATTGTTCGGATAATGATACCGAGGCACATTTATTTTGTCCTCTCTTCTTTTTGCTTTTCCCCCAATGCAGCTACTGGCTGTGGCAATGTTCGGTATATATATATATATATATCTCCCCGCCTGTGCAGCCTCGGCTTTACTTTCTTGCCTTGTAACTACTGTGGTTACTTCTCGCACGATTCGTGGAAGGCAGCCGCATAGTCTTTTTTTCTGTTCCTGGTTTTCTTGCCGCCGCTACTACCGGTCCCTACTTCTGCTGTGCAGGCACCCGTTGACTCACGTGGGCGCGTGCCAGGCCTGACTCATAGGCAGAAAAAAGACACAAAATAAAGAAAAAATGACTTAAAGAAAGAAATAAACGTGAAAGAGGACGGGAAATGTTGAAGTGAAGAATACAGAGGCAGAAAATGCACCTCAGCGCTCATGCATGCATGAACGCTGAACACACCTGCACATTGACAGGCGGAGAAAGCAGAAATTAAAAAAAAAAGCCATGCATGAGGGAGGGACGTTGCCATTATCATCCTCATCAAACAGGCAGGTGAACAAGCAAAAAAAAAAAAAGACGGACATAAATACAAAGCAAAACACATGATAACCCGCAATACAAACACAAGTGGCAGAGAAGCAAAATAACAGAAAAAAAGGGGTTTTGCAACTAAACGAAAAAAAAACAAACAAACAAACAAAGGAGCTGCCTTCAAAGTAGTTCCCTACACAATTCACGCACCCACTCAGAGAAAAATGAAACATTCCGAATAACAATCATGATTGAGTCTACCTTTTGGCCACTGTTTTCGTTGTTGTTGTTTGTCAATGTTTTTCTTCTTCTTCTTCGTTTATTTTTGTTTGCTCCACCTTTTTTATTCACTCCTTCCTCCTTTGCCTCCCTCCGCTCTTCTTCACCCACACCTCCCTATACCCTTCACACGTACATTGAATGGAAATAACAGCAGCAATCGCAATAACAAAAATGACAATAGCAACCGACGCGCAGAGAGAGAGAGAAAGAAAGAAAGAAAAGGGAGACAGCCAAACCCGGGTGATGTAGTTGCAAGCTTATGAAATGTATGCCTTCTCGCAGAGCCCTTCACCGCCCTTCCAGCGACCCTCATCATCCTTCTCCTTCAGGAACGCGTCGCTAAGCTCCACAAACTCCCAGTAGTCTGCGAGCGATCGCAGTTTCCCCATTCCAAAACGAGCCTCTTCACGCACAATCGCCGGGTTACGTCGATGCGCCTCATCGTCGGTCACAATAAGTTGAGTGGTGTTCAGCACACGCCGCTTCAGGAAATATAGCACGCGCTGTATAGAGGTTTGATGCTCCAATTCCCGGTGCTCCTTCGCACCAGGCCGCGTAATGACAGAGAAGAACCTTGGGGCGTGGACTCGCATGTAGTTATGGTACACCAAAGCCGTGGCGGGGGAGTAGCTGTCCCAGCCGTGTGTCCACAGCCGCACGGTGTAGAGAATCTCCTCGCCGTCGAACAAAAATGGAAGGTACGGATCAAAGGGCACGTCCCGCACATACTGTGCGTCCCCAAAAATGTACCCAGCAGCCACAAAGCCTTGAAGCACAGGGTGACCCCTAATTGCGATCCATCGCGCGCCCAATTTGGGGATGTTGTCGGGCAAAATAACCCCCTTGCACATGCACATAACATCCGACTTGTTAATCTCAGCATCGGGAGCCTCTGGGGTGTACCCGTTCGGGTAGTGAGACAGCACCCCGCGAGTGGGCATCAGCCGAGCACGCTCAATCATCTTTACATCCCAGCTCGGAACAAATCTTGAATGGCTGTCAATCACCATGTAGTAATCCTGATTATTGTAGAAAAGACTTGTTATGTAGCGACCGTACGTTGGGCCACGTGCATCGTCGGGGTGTCCAAGACGTGTGATGACCTGGCAGCCGCTCAACATGGACTCACCAGAGGAGGTAGGTGCGTCAGATGCATCCGCGCTAAGCAGACACGTGATGATGTCCTCATCGCGTCTCTCATGTAGCACAGGCGTGCGATTGGGGTGCTTCTGCAGGGAGCCTTCATCGTAAGCAAAAGGAATCAAATCTTTCCAGCGCATCGTGCGTGAACGACGCACGCCAATACTATTAAGCACTTCTGGTGAATTAATGCAGCTGACATCCGTCTCAAAGCGCTCCTCACTGATGCCCAAGAACACTCTCAGAGGATACTTTGCGCGCTTAAAAAGACTCTCCAGCGTTGTAATACACTCCTTGTCACGAAAAGCAGCAATAGAGACAAAAATGGTGGCAATGTCCACTGGTATGCGTGCGGCCGGGAGATTCTCCGAGGAAAATACAGCCACCGACCCTGGAGGGACGTTGAACGCTTCCGGTTCCAAGGTAACATGATACCCGACAGCGCCAAGCACAAGCAGAATGAAGAATGCTAAGCAAAAAATACATAGCCGCAGCTGTCTTCGTGCTTCCCGCCGCCCACGACGAAACTTCCACGGTCGCTCAAATATCTTTCTGTCCATAGTTGGTGTGAAGTTCAACCCTTGGTTTTGCCCCTAACTAAGTATTGTGTGTACGCGTAACTAACTATGTCAATAGCACCCTTGCAAAGAAAAACAAATGCCTGAAAAGTAAATTCCAAAAGAAAGAAACAAACACCTCACTCTTCCTTTTAAGCGGGCAAACAGATGAAATACGCCAAACTTAGCAGCACCACTTTACTAGAAACCACAATAGAAAAAAAAATATAAATAAGAGGCCACCAAAACTTCTATTAAGTAATATAGGGGAAGCGATGGTTGCGTGTGTGGAGGAGAGTCAGAGTACGAATCAATAAGGCGTTGGCTTTTCATGTGCGGTGGCCCGCGTCCAAAGGTGTCCTAAGCTTGCGTCTCATCACGGCGGCGGGGCAGCGTGGGCGCACTTGGGTAAAGGGGAAGGGATGGTTGCGTGTGTGGAGGAGAGTCGAGAGTACGAATCAAATAAAGGAACGTTGGCTTTTCGATTGTGCGGT